CACTTAATTCATGAAAATCAATCTAAGAATATACCTTCCTGTCCATAGAATATCGCATCCCTTACAGTTGTTACAGTTAAGACGAAAAGCATGTGACCAATGCTAAGATAATATTTTGCTTATAAAATTATGAAATAGGCGTAAAAACCGAAATAATCACCATGCCTAATTTAACACCTGATGTTATTTTACATTCTGCATGTATATTAGATAATTTTAGAGTTTTTTTTCATTTTGTACCTTCTTAAGCAACATTTATAAGTGGTAAGTAAGTAAAACAAATTCCTGTTTCATAAAAAGTATTTCTCTAAAAAAAAAACCTACATATTTAGTTAGTCCTATTGCCCTAGAAAATTATAACGACTTTTCTTCCTTTTTAATTGATGTGAACATGGTACCATTTTAGACAAGGAACATATGTAAGTAGGACACGTTTATGAACATCATGTAATTGAATAACAACTTATGTTTTGTATGTAATTGTAACAGTATCATCTAAAACTTTATATAGAACTTCTTGTCAACATGTCTTGTTTTCTTGAAATTATCTCGGAAACCCTCGTAGGTCAAGGTTTCTACTTCCGCTTCTAAGTCATCTGAAAATACCATTATAGTCCTGTTTTACTTTAAAAAGGACAACACAAACCTAGTTGTTAAAAATTGATAATCAAAACTGAAAACTCAGTCGCTTTTATTCTGACGTTTAAATCAGACACTAATCATTAATCATCTATAATAGGGTCAGTTTAACTATTGATGAAAACAAATGTTTCAAGCTTATTTCAAGTTTTATTTGATAAAATATTTTATATGTTAGAATTTCTAGGTACATAATTCTAGGTGCACACACGGTTACATGCTCATAGAAAATCGATTCTAATTAACGATGTTAATACATTGTGTCAACAGCTTTGAGCAGTTGAATGCATTCAGCTTCAAATGTTATGAAATATTCTATAAATACCATGAAATAAGAATATGGCTTGATACGTCTTTTTTTAGATTACGTTTAATTATAAAACATCCATTTAATTATCGTTCTCTTGAACTTTGATAAATTAATTTTAGGAATATTGATGAAATACAAACAAACATCAATAAACTATCACCATACGGGAATGGTCCCTGTGGTACAGTGTTGAAAGTATGGTTATAATTGAACTTATCTTTTTAATGCAATCTTGAACAATGCCAAGAAAAGAATTTCCATTGAACGTGTGAATGTATAATGCATGGATATGGTGTACTGATACGCTCAGGAAAACAGGTATTAAGTTCTTTCAAAATGTGAAGTCAAACATTTAGTAAAAAATGGAATTCAATAGAATATTAATATATCATTATCTATTATCTTGGGGAAATTGAGGCAGTAAGTGTACTAAGTATATTTGTTTACCATTAACATATTCAACGCTTCAGCAATGAAGATTTTCCACACAGCTGAAACCTGAGCTGAAGCGAGATATAACAAAAAGTTAAAACATTTTAGATGTTTTCAAGGCATCATGCGGTACTAAAATTATTCATAAAATATTCATATATAATGGCATTTTTACATGTGTGGTAGGCACAAAAGTAAATGTTATACCTGCGTGTGTGGTAGACATAAAAGTACATGTTACACCTGCGTGTTTGGTAAATACAAAAGTGTGTGTTACATGTTATACCTGCATGTGTGGTGGACAAAAAAAGTACATGTAATACCAGCATGTGTGGTAGACACAAAAGTGCATGTTATATCTGTAGGTGTGGTAGACACAAAAGTACATCTTATACCTGCATGTTAAGTAGATACAAAAGTACAGCTTATACCTGCGTGTATGATAAATACAAACGTACCTGTTATACCTGCATGTTTGGTAGATACAAAAGTACATCTTATATTGGACGTGTGATAGACACAAAAGTACCTGTTATACCTGAGTGTGTGGTAGACACAAAAGTACCTGTTATACCTGAGTGTGTGGTAGACACAAAAGTACATGTTATACCTGCATGTTTGGTAGATACAGAAGTACATGTTATACTTGCACGTGTGGTAGACACAAAAGTACACGTTATACCTGAATGTGTGGTAGACACAAAAGTACATGTTATACCTGCATGTTTGGTAGATACAGAAGTACATGTTATACTTGCACGTGTGGTAGACACAAAAGTACACGTTATACCTGAGTGTGTGGTAGACACAAAAGTACATGTTATACCTGCATGTTTAGTAGATACAAAAGTACCTGTTATACCTGAGTTTGTGGTAGGCACAAAAGTACATGTTATAGCTGCGTTTGTGGTAAATATAAAAGTATGTTATACCTGCATGTTTGGTAGATACAAAAGTACCTATTATACTTGTAATGTGGTAGACAAAATAGAACCTGTTATACCTGCATGTGTGGTTGACGCAAATGTACCTGTTATACCTGTAGGTGTGGTAGACAAAAAAGTACATGTTATACCTGCTTGTGTGGACACAAGGGTACATGTTATACCTGCACATGTGGTAGACACAAGGGTACATGTTATACCTACATGTGTGGACACAAGGGTACATGTTATACCTGCACATGTTGTAGACACATGGGTACATGTTATACCTGCACATGTGATAGACACAAGGCTACATGTTATACCTGCACATGTGTGAACACAAGGGTACATGTTATACATACACATGTGGTAGACACAAAGTACATGTTATACCTACACATGTGGTAGACACAAAGTACATGTTATACCTACACATGTGGTAGACACAAAGTACATGTTATACCTACACATTTGGTAGACACAAAGTACATGTTATACCTGCACATGTGGTAGACACAAAAGTACATGTTATCTCCCTATGCTACATTGGAAGGTACTTCAGTGTATTGATTCCTAGGAGTTCAGCCCTCTTTTAAGACTGACTCGGTAAGGTTATGGATATCACTGATGAGCTGATCGAGACAGATATTGCTTGTCGGAGACGTTTTGAAGAATCATCGGGTAATGATGTACATATGCGTTGATATATATATATATATTCACATACGCTGTCAGACATTGCACAGATAGTCGTTGGTATCATGAGAAATTCCGAAAGGATAAGAACCCCAACTTCGATATAAACTTCATCAAATTGTTGACTATTATTAACATATTACATTAATATATGTAGGTACAAATATACGTAGTATTTTAGACATAGAAAATTAATTGGCAAAGGTGTCAAACGAACCAATAATGCACGTGATGTTAATCAACGATTAAGGTCATGGCTGCATACTTTTTGAGTTCATGAATCAAAATACCAGTAAGCTGAATAGATTTTGTAAGGTATTTCCGGACATAACTTCTTCAACAAATAAGTTATTCAAATGAAAGACATATTTTGCAAATTTATATGCTGCCTCTGTATATTCCACAGCAACTTGCATTGTTTTGTAGTGATTTCTTCGTTTAAAAATAAAACGAAAACACTTGCATTTGTTTCACATTTACGTTTTATTAATAAATAATAATAAATAGATTTAAATCCTTTTAATATATAGTAAATTTGCGATCCACGAAAAAACTCCGTGATGTATAATATATAAATTTTCAAACAATAGAGGAAAGCAAATTTTGTATGCCATATTTCACCACACAGAAACCTTATGTATGAAATGATACTACACAAAATGCCTTCATCGCTGTAGTTTATGTATGTGTCTGTGTGACAATATACCACATCTTATACCTGTGTTGGAAACATTACACAAGCCATTGTGATAAAATCATAACACAAAATTTGTTAACTTTTCTACTTGGCTTTAACCGATACATTCTACATTCAGAGACCCTTATCACTGTAATACGCGCGGAAAACCATACCGCTCTGGTTCATGCGAAAAAATCTATGTAATACATAATGAAAAAAAAATGTTGCTTTGATATTTCCGGAAAAATATATCACTATGATTCATTCCCAAACTTGTATCCATGAAATACATTATTAAACGTATACCAATATAGTACATTCGTTATATATACTGGGTAACACTGATGCATCCCGACACCCCTATCACAATGATACCATACCAATGTGATACTTTCAAAAATACCATACGTAAAAGAAACCATTGTCTAATTGTAGTGTTTTTTGATATTTTAGTTTTTTTTAACATTTCCATTAACATGACGAGGAGTAAATTATTAATAACAGCGTTTGTATATTTCATTCGTTTCAGATGTATCGGTCATGCCCTGTTAAACAAATAACTTCTAAAATGCAAGGTGCTTTGTGCACAAAGAAAAATAAATTATCCTATATTGAAAAGTCAACTAAACATTCCAAGACTATAAAACGTTGAATCGGAAGTAGATAAAATGAATTTGATTCAAATAATTCTGTATTAAGTCTACAATGTCCGTTCTTTATGTAACCTATTCTATGCAATAACATTTCAATTGTATACAATTAGCATATTATATACATTTTGTCCACAGTTCTCGCAAATATTCCATGAATGTGCGAGTTTAAATGGCTACTTTGTAATTTATCCTTGTGTCTTATACACGTCCTGTGAATTGTCGGCTTTCCTGGAAGTAGCATTATCCAGGTGTTTGTGTCTTTTCCATATCAGTGGGATTTTATTCCAGTAAAGAGAATGAAATTTGTAGAATGTCTCCGAATCTTCCACACATATCATAGTCTATGTACAGCGTTACTTCATGTGAAATTCAGCTATACACAAAACGACAGTAAATTTCACAATCACGTGACAACCACAACATTTACATATAAACCAGGATCAGATCTGCGTTTGTAAAACACAAATTATAATTACGAGAGATCAAGCATTTAAATGAGTGTCTTTTTCTCTCTCGCTATCAAAGTTCATAACATACCATTCACATACAATTTGGTCCAAATAAACCACCATTTGAAACATTAGTCCCTGATTTGAGAATCAAACCTCCCATGTTTGAATTAAAGTTCCAAAATGTTTCCCGCGAAAAAAGGTACACATCCTGTGTTATTGGCTTAGTGGGCTTGACATTTCTGATGGTGTCTCAGGGAACTCAGAGTCTGAGTACTGGTCCATATGATCCATATGATCTGGCAGCTGGTCATGGTGAATCCACTCGTTACCATAGCCTTCATGATACGTATGGTTATCCTCCATGTCAAAGGAATTCATCTGAAATTAAAGAAAATAAATGTAACAATATGTCTTTATCACCGAGTCCATAACAGAAATCAACAGCAGATGAAATAAATTTGTTAGTGCTTTTTTATAATATAATAATCTGCAAAATATATACATGTATATGAGAACATAGTTTTGACGGCGAGTTTATCATACACCGAATGAGATAATGCATCCTATGTTGATACTTTCCATAAATATATAGCGCATGGAACAAACTATCTTGAAAATTACCATTCCAAGACCAAAATGTACTTAATAATGATCGATCTTCTGATTTCATTTTCTGGCTTTTAACCGCAAACTCCGCGTAAATAAACACAATGTAAATGCCGAAAGTCATAGTAAACAAAGTCAGGTCCAATATTGACTAAGAATTTTTATCGTTTGAGACAGTGATAACACAGAAAATTCAATTTCTAACAAAAACTGAAAAATGTTCATTTATGTTTTATATCGTAAGTATATTGTCCTTGTGTGTATATTGTGATAGAATTACTGGCTTTGGGTAAATGTGTTGAAGTGAAGATTAAGTGAAATAAATCACTAATATAAATTTATATATAAAAATTTTGGATTCTCGTAGTTGGTTAACACTGTGTTCTGCATTGACCGATAGAATGTGCTACAATAGAATCGAAAAAAGACAAATGTTTTCTTTCAAATGTTTTCAATATAGAACAAAAATATAAATTTCTCGTGAAATAAGTGATGAATATTTCTGTGTAACTATTTATGGTAATTGATTTGTTGCATCTAGTTTGTACTTTTGCATTACTACAATTTTCCTACATTTTCTCGTAAATCTGATATTTGTATGTGGTTGGCTCAAAATGTAGAATGCGACCCTATTGAATATTATGATCACAATCAATATAAAAGTGTCATATCGAAAGTATGACAATATTGACGGGTTGAATCAACAAGTCTCTGTGATCGTTATGTTTCAGATTTCGTAACCCTAGGTAGTATTTGTCAACATGTACATTGGTCAAGAAGCTTTATTTACACAGCGGTATAAATATTGTATTTGCTCACTGATTATTTACTGAGTATAGGTTATATATATGTATCGGTGTGTTATAACGAGATAGGTAGGACGAATAAGATAAATTCGGGTATAACTTAATCCACCAATACATAGAAACATATATCAACATGTTTCCACCACAGATTAAGGTTATTTTAATAATAAATTACCATTTAGCATTACCCTATTTTGCGACTTGTTAGTCACACAAAAAATGTAAAAATAAAACGTTAATAAAAAGCCAACCTTGGTTGTAGAACTGGTATAAATATCTGAAGACCCTGTGTTAAAACGCATTGTTTCTGAACCTGGTATTATTATCTTTAGTTTATTTTTATCACTGATGCAAATCAGATAAAAATTATGAAATATATAATTTCGAATAAAGGAAAAAAGACTCAAATATACTGTATATCTTTTTTTTATATTTGTTATGGAGTACGATGAAGAGTACCAATTAAATGTAGAGAAGATAACCTCGTGCGGATGACGTAGAAAAGTGTGTCAAGACCTATATAAACAGCTTTAGCTGATTCATCAAATAAATCGATCACCCATAATAATGATCAAAGAGAATGCTTATTATTCGTCAAACACACTGGCTACTATGATAAACTGTGAGCCAATCTCTCTCACAGGACAAAATACAGCGTGTGGTGTTCCGTTTCTTTAAGATGCATGCTTGTGAACATTGCGATAATGTATTCATTTTATAAGCGTATTTTCAAACATACTTGTGTGTAGGATGTGAGTATATGGAAGCGAATTTGTGTCAATAAGGATATTTAGGTTTGTCCGCGGTACTAAATGCATGATCAAGTACTAGATATAAATATAACACACATAGGCAACAATAGATGGAAACCTTGGTGTTTCGAAACGATGTTGTCTTTGGAATATATTTCCCAAATCACTATGAAAACAATTGTTGTCGCTATTTAACATATCACAGCGACGGTTTATTTTTTGTGGCGCGTACGTATCGATGGTTAAATTTGAAATTACATAAACTAGTTTTAATTCATTTAATCTAATTATCTGCAAAAAGAATAAGTGAATTGCATTATCATTGAAAAACACATATTGACACCCAATGGATATTATTGTTTGTGTCAAGAACTTAATTACAGAAATTCATTTTGCGAAAGTTAAATGATTCACAATATATAACAACAATATCAAGGAAATCAAAAAGAAGTGTCATGCTGAAACTAAAAATCAACATCCATATGATCTAATACTGAACGAATTACTCTCTCTCTACTAGGCAGAAATAAAACAACCATGCAAAGCTTTTTAATTTTAACTCTCACAGACTTGCTATGCAGTTCCATTATGAATCACCATTTCTTCACTTACTTTTTCTAATAATTTCTCGTAATTTTTTCTTGGATATTCAAAATATTATTCCAAAACATCTATGGATATTATAGTGCATGTATACTGCACCGTTTTGATCAAAATGCAACAAAAACGGCTATACACAAAGAAATTTAAAATGATAACAGAGGCGATAACAACAAACTATAGCTACAGAAGCAGAGTGAGGATTCACGCATGTGTGAGGGGAAATTTCAATGCCAAAGCTTACAAAATGGTAAATATATTTTGAACCCAAAAAGTTTCATTAACGTTACTCTTATAATCAACATCATAAAATCTATTAAAGATATCTTTTGAATCTCGTTATTTATGTTTTCTTTCTCAAATATGATTTTGTAACTCATACATCAATAACGGCAGGCATTTAAATATTTTAACTAAATATAATGTTTATATATCACTTAATCAGTTATTATTTGAGTACCTAAACATGCGTAGTGTCCATGGGTCTAATGATAACAGAAACTGCATAGCATGAGGGCAGGAGTAAAATTAAATAGCGTTTACCGTAAGTACTCTGCCGAGAGTGACGTAATTTCCGGTCAGCACTGATCATAGCACACGACATGATCATCGTCATCGTCATCGTGTGTGACGTCACAAACAAACGTGCTCACCAGTTGTTGGAATGGCGGGTGTTCAAGTTCACTTTGCATGGCAAAATCACTGAGAGCCTTCCACGGTGGCTGGTAGCTTTGCACTTCTACCGCATTAGCTTGCATGGGACTTTCGTGTCTAACGGGACTTGAAGCGACCATTGGAACTCCTTGAAGTGGACCATGCAACCGTCCGCCATTCTGCAAGAGTGCAAAAATAGGTTTTAGATATTTCGCCTGATGTTTATCGGGAAAATGTAAAAAGAAAATAAACAGCGATAGTCAAGTGTAATAAAAACAATAATTCACCAAATTCAGAACGGGTTTATTCTTTAACGGTCTATTCTTGCTGTAGATATTCATGCCGCAACGTATCAAATAGTAATTCGTATGCGCTTTTGTCTCCTGATCAAAAGATATATACAATTTCAGTTGTTAATTATCCCATGTGCATATCTACATCCCTTGGGGATATTCAGTGCATTTCAATAATTAACTTCATTTTCATGAGAAGATATTTTTCAAATGCGCATCTACGTCATTATCGGAATTTACTTTCGCTTTATTTGAGAAAGAAAGATTACATAATGAGGGAAAGTGCCCAGGCTCCGTTATATATGATAGAAGTGTTGGAGGCCTTCGATTTGTTGATAATGACGTTCGTAGTTGTTCATTCAGATACATTGAAGCGTATACAAATTACGTTCAGTTGACTTGCATGTTTGCTGTCTAGCATGTTATCGACAGAAAGATGACAGTGGTCTACCCGGAATCAATATAAAAAAGAGAGAAAAAAAACCTTTCTCGTTTATTCTATAACAGCCTATTTGAAACGTAACGTTTAGAATAAATCGTTAGATATAGGCCGAGTCTTCACATACACCTTTAATAGGAATGATACAACGTCATTCACACCATTCAAAGTTAGAATTACACAAAGTTTTAATTGGAATCGACAGACAAATTTCAAATTTTGATTATCATGTTGAATAAATCCATCTTTACACGATTGCTGGTTTTGCATTTGTTTACAGGGATCAAATTTCGACTCATTCTATTCTGAAAAAATACGTTCTGGTTTTATCGGCTTTTATTGACCTGTAACCAAATAAGGCATTGTTATTATATAACACCTCTGTATATCTTATGATTTATATACATATGTATAGATATCAAACTGTCGATTTATGAGAGCATTCACCCGGAATGGAAATTAGTAAAAAAAAAAAAAAGTAAAGATCTCGTGAAGATAATAATAAATTAATAAGCACTGAATTGAGAGCGTGACTTCAATTTTGTTGTAATTATTTATGAGTTGAAAGTGTTTGTTTTAGATCAAAATAATGTAAGTGTTTCAACGGGTCATTTGTACAATATTTATGTATTTTTTTGTAACTACATACTCACACATCATTAGTCAGAATGTTTTAATTAGCATTAAATATGACACCTTTTGAAATGTCCATATTATTTTTCTTTTGGTCGGATGAATTGTTTGTTTCGGTAAAATGGATAATGAAATTATTATTATTACACTACTGGGAGTCGATAGAACCGGTAACACTACACGACAATATTCAAACGCTCGTTATTTGTAGCACGCTCATTACAATAGATTAAATCAATCGAATAAAAATCATTTCTACTGAGACTAGATATCATATGTCAAGGGCATTTGATCATTATTGTGGGCTGGAAAACTTCCCAATTAATCAACAAATCATATTTTATAGAATAATATAAATCGTACGAATCATTGTTTATAGCTTTACAACCAACGGAAGTATTAAGAGGCTATTAAATATTCATTTTTCAGAGATGTAAATTCTGTTTATGTTCAGCCCGGTGAACGTTGTGTGGAGTTTTACGGAGATGTTGTACACAGGCGGAACAGATGCCCACTGATTATCAACACGAGCATGCTTTTAATTAGCTTAACAATCAACAGGCCTTCTGTTAAGCGCTATGTTTGCACAATATAATGTAATCCTATATCACGCGAACCCCGAAGTCATGGTTCTGTTCGGAGCTTTTTCTCTCATAGTTTACTCCTGTAAAGCCTACTACATCACGAGATGTGGTGTTGACTGGAGGGAAAGGAGATAGATCATGGTGAGACACTTTTCTCACCCTCACAGTTTCAGGGTTCAATTCTGAATTGACGACCAACACGGTTAGTGTGTAAAGCACACGATTTATTGCATCAAATATATATAAAATATTTCATTTTTATGTGTTCGTGTTCATACACCTTAAGATCGGACTATTCCTAGAGGGAAGGTGTTTATTGAAACGGTATTCGTCAATCGAACGGTTCCCTAAAAAGATTAAAAATGACAATTTTTCCCTTCTCAATAAATGATTTGGTTTGTTGAAGAAATATGTTTACAAACGAATGTTAAATATCAATTTCGTGTTAACTATGTAAATTTGATTTGTTGTATAAAACTTAATGTATCTATGTTTGTTTATAAGGAATTTGGATATGAAAAAAATGAAAATACGATGTATACCGGTATAGAACACAAAGCAACGTAGGGAAGTATATTCTTGCACTCTATCTCGGCGGCTGATTCCTCCTAACTAGGGGGTACAAACAATACGATTTGATAATAATAATCGCGTGGAAGAGGTGTAATCTAATTGCGGAATTTCTTAATTTCCGGAGGGACCGGAATAAGTAGAAATTTATAATATAAAAAGCTGTTTGAATTGGAGGAAATTAAATGACTGCATGCGCTAATCATCAGAGAAATTTACACGAAATTAGCTCTGTGTGAAAGCGCGACCTCTCGGAGAAAGGCTGAGAGGCTATTATTAAATTCTAATATCACTCGTGTATGCCAGTGCATACGGCTTATACAGAATTCCCAATAACCAAATGATGACCGACTAGGGGTTACAAATAAATAGACAATGATTACAGTCAAAATTGCCTCGCTCCTTCATCGTTGTATAATCATTGCTAAATCACTTTCCCTGCCAGGCTGACATTGGTCCTGACATTCCCGATATGTGCAGGTTCTGAAGGCAACGAATTATCCAAAACCAGGGACAGACAATCTTGACAATATTCATACAACTGATTTTCTGCATAGAACATCTCCCATTGAAGTGAAGATTCAGTAAATTTCCGGAGTATTACTCTTCATTATCAAACGAAATAAATATTTGAAAATTTCTTTCATTATCTATTTAATAGAATTATTCAATTTCATTTAATTTTTTTCTTTTCGTTTTTTTTCTTTTTGTTTTTTCTCTATTTTCTGGAACTCCTAGTCGTCATTCTGTTGATATGTTAACGCAAAATATCATTGCATTTTCCAAGGAGTTATGGATTTTCAGATCTCTAAAGTTTGAAGCATTCTTCTCTTTGAAATAACCTATTTTTCTTAACTTAAGATACATGTTTTAAAAAACATCAGAACGAAAGTTATCTACTCACTAAAGATATCTTACTTGTAAACATTATTGTATTGCTTATGATAGCAACTGCTTCGCTATAAAGTGAGGATAATATTCACTCAAAAGATTGTCTTTATATTTGGGATTTTTATCATGTATAAACCTTAACTCGGTGACGACAAATTGCTTCATATAGCATGTTGATATGTTATTTAAGTGTGTGCCGTTGACTGTAGATTGAGTGGTCAGTTGGTACAGTAAAACGAACATGTCTAGGCGTCCGGGTTCGATTCTATGATCGGACGTAAAGAGGAACCTTGTAACCTATCTGATGCCGTGCATTTTGACGGTCAACTAAAGCATATAGCATAAATATAAGTTTTGACAGTGTTCTTATCATAACGATGATACCAAACACACAAGTTAAAACCAGCATCCCAAATGTTACAGCAACGAAAAACATAATTATATCTGATGTATTACTGATCAGAGGATTAGCGTCATCATATAACAATACCTTACCAATTAATATGTTAATGTAGATGTCCTGTATACAATTTTCTTTTACAAAAGGAAATGGAGAAGTCTCTTTTCCCTATGATAGTATCCGTTAGTTATTGTGGGAGACAATATTCAGATTTACCAGCTAGAAAAGTAACAACAATGATGCATTTTACTACAACTTATCTGCCTAACTAAACTTGCACTGAAAGACCTTGAGAAAATATCATCAATTGTTATCTCCAGTTCATCGTCGCTGGCTCTCGTAATGTCGAAACCGTATACTTCACAAGGTATTGAAGAGAAGCCGACTGTCGCAGCCTCGCCACGCTGAGGTTTTAAGTCTCCATTTAACAAAAGAGATATATAGTGGTAAACATAAATCGATGAATCAGTATACCAACTTATGCCAAATCGTTGATATTTGTCCTTTGGAGGTTATTAACATATTCATGACTTTTGTAGTATTAATAGTGGCAATATCACCGCGTCTCATCATAACGATAGCGTTGTTGTTTGTTTATCGATGACTTGTCTCTGTAATTGTAGTGGCATTGTTTGTACCGTTTGTGGAAACCGCAATCAATGATGGATTTTAACCTAGATATGTAAACGACAATCATTTAGATAACAGTTAACCAAACGGGTGTAAAAACAGACAACAGATTCGGAAGATAACAGCAAATACGATAGAGCTATGTGAATATCAATGAAACAACAAAACCGGTTTCAACATCTATGAGAAACGTATGGATATTTTAAGTGAGACTGTATTAACTGACATTGACAAGAACCCTGTATTTGCCGGATGTGGCACGACATAGATTAAAGCAATGTTAAAGGCAAATATGTTGAATCCGTCAGATATGGCAAGATATTTTCATTAGCCGAATTTCACTGTTAAGTCGGTTTTCGTTATATTGTCATGATTAAGGTTTTGACAGTAATTGAGTTTTTGTATGATTTTATAATTTTTTAAGAATTAGAAATCAATGAGTTCAAAATGAAGTCATGAAGTCAAAATTAATCACACAAAAATTAATAATAATGAAAGGAATTGTGATCCAAATACTAGTTTTCTTATCTCTAAATACAATCGTCACAGTGAAGCATACTGCAATCGAACAGGTATTGTGCTAAATTATGAAGTCTTTTAAAAGGACATGGCAACGGATAGGTATAAAACAAAAAGGAGAAAATAAAAAAAATTAGTGACTATTCGACCAATGGGTCATTGTCCGGGTCTGTGAAGAACGTGTCGTTAAGTCTAAGTCATATTGAGCTTGGATGCAGGTAATTCAGTTCGGCTTTTCCATGCCTCAGGAACCTTGTCCGCATAATCACTGCCAAACAAATGTCCCCAGATTTTTGCTCCCATTGTCCTATGATTTTTCAAATTAAGTTAACATCATGCTTTAAGGGAAAATAATAGTGAAAATAACAGGAAAGTGGTAGGGGGTGTCCGCACCGCCTCCGGTTCTCTCAATTATTGCTTGCCTTTCGTGAGAAAGACTGTAACATTGTCACGGGGGAATTACAACCACAGCAAAGTAAATTTTCTTTGGTTTACAAATAATGTTGTTGAATTATCCACGAGAAAAGGTGTTGTTTATGGTTATCAGCGGCCACATTCAAGTGTAAATACCCCCAAGGATTCAATAAGAGACTTAATTCAATGTATTTCCAATTAGGCACCGTGGAATTTGTTTCTGCACGCGACAGACTCCTTGGTTCTCTCTAATACACGTCACTGAAGAAATGGTACCAATGAAATGTGTTAAACAGTAACGGTTTCTTTTATTTTTAGAATATAGGATTTTTTTCAGAAAAATGGTGCCTTTTTTATTATCAAATATAGTTAAATGGAATGCAGTTCGCCTTGGAGTGATATTTTGTATTATATATGGAGCGTTTTAGAGAAATATTTCCAGGACTGTTACTAATGCCGAGACATTAGAATCATATAATTGTTGGTAATTAGAGCAAATTCAGATAATTTCTAGTTATACAATACAACAAGACTAGACACCAGGAGACAATGCAGTCGTTTCCGCGTCAAGTGTGGATGTTTAATTTACTGTCACGGTTTAGAAGACATCAATACCGACTCTAGTTCAGGAAACTGAACCTGCAAATAATTTGGTTTCTCTCGAGTATCGAGAAAACGCAGGTCTCACGAATCGAATCAGGATATCAGACTTTTCAATTCACATTGAAGGTATGATAATAAAATTGTAATAATTAGAAAAAAAAAATTTTGAATTATATTGATCCAATAATATCTTGCCAATATTTTTTTAGTTATTCCTGTTGTGATACCATGAACGACATCAAACACGTTTCTTAGTAAAGGACCCCTTTGTTTTAGATTTAGATAAACTGAAATGCTTAGTGTACCGGCTGACTACCAGCAGGTTTAGTATACCAGGCTGTCGCTGAAATGCTGGTTATACATTTATGAAAGCAACATATGTGGACCGAACAAGGACACATGTGTATTCATGCACTTAATAATGTAATATTATATACTTTCTTTATTTTCGGATAAAATGTCAATATTTGTGCGCTATTGATACAACTCATGATTACAATGATATTTTTATTTAAATAATTTTTTTATCAAATTTTACTATATTTATTACCTTAAAATTACAATCTGTTATAACGGGATACATTTCAATTATTATTATTTTTTGTTTTTGTTTTGTTTTTTGCTATTGTTTATTTTTTTAAAAATTATTTTTATCTTTTTTTTATGTGGGGGTTGGGGTGGAAGATATTATCAACATTTTAGAAATACCAACCTTCATTTCGACGGCCAAATTGCTGTCGTCATATAAATTAACACCACATAAACTGTCTGTCATAGTATTCAACAACAAAAAGCTGTCTCTATCAATGAAAATAATTTTCACTCCCACAATTCTTACAAAGATCATGAAATAAACACTGATATGCATCGTTAACAGTCTCCATGTAAACGTTATACTTTAACAAGCGGTTAAATTACTCTAATTTCTCTGCAAATTTTTATAAATCTCAATAAATTTATCAACCTCCGTGTATTCCTAAACAGCGAGATTCGGCTAGACAATTTTTGTATGTCTTGGCAGTGGTAGCTAAGCCTTTCTGTCCACGTTGTAAAGAGAACTGCAAATATTAGAATCCCTTGGATAAACACACATGTGAACTCGGTGGGTTGGGTCGATCCTTGGAACATGCCTATGTTTGTCAAGTTCAAGTCATTCTATTTTCTACTAAACGTCAACTAGAGGTAAAAGAGTCCAATTTTTATGAATGAAATTTAATCTTTTAGTTCAAACTGAAAAATTGCTGCTTAGTAAATTTTGTACACGTAAATTAAAATTTTACGCAATAAAGTGTTCATATACTACAGATTTACTTCTAACGTTTTCGTTTGGCTGTGCTTTGCTTTGTTTTGTTTTGTTTTCTTTTTTTTTTTGTAAAAGATAATTTTTTCCGCCAGAGACTTATACGATAATATGAAATATTTCATTTCTATGCATACCGGCCGTTTTAAAAATATTTTCATAGTGTTTTCGATTTTTTTTAATAAACTGATGATACAACAAATTATTTGTAAACATTAATGCTTTCTTGATGACAGATACCAAATAATGTCTATTTACAATGGATACGTATATCTGTTATTACACTCCGATATTTATATGCAGACTACAAAAAATATGGTACACAAAGCTGGCAATTACCTAAACATACAATATAACAAGTATACCTTACAACAATCGTCAGTAACACATTTCAAACAGTAACACATAACGTAGCCAACAATACACCTGGAAAACATGTTTTTGTGGTGGATTTGCTCTGTGTTTCATATTTGTAAACACATGAACTCGTATGACAAAATGTTCGAAAGTAACATTTTACATACCCTAAACCAATATCAATTACTCACAATTAAGGGATGTAGTAAAGATGAAAAACGAAGAAGACAAAATAAGACCGTGTTCGAAAGACCAGAGAAAGATATTTTTGATTTCATTTCTTAATGTGGATATAGAGAAAATTTCAGAATTTTGCTATCTCAGAGATGTAAGAAAAAGTTTCACTTACTATGAATTTACTCACTTTTTCCTGCTGCTGGTGTTGTAATTGTTTCATCAGTATACTCCGTTTCTTGTCTTTACAGCGTTTGTTTTGAAACCACACCCGGATTACACGAGGACTCAGGTTTGTCATTTCAGTAAGTTGTTCTTTCATTAAAGCATCCGGCCTCGGATTTGCATTATAACACGTCCTCAGAGTATGTAATTGTTTTTCGTTGAGCACTGTTCTAACTCTAGTTGGCTTCTGTTCTGATTTATGAACATGCGATCTTGTTCCGTTTGTCTTCGTATTTGACACTTGTTCCGCCCGACCAGCTGAAATCAAATTAAAACAAAAATTTTACAAGTTTTGATTTCGTTTCATGAGTAACGTCTCTGCCTTTTGTAATTGATTTATCATAATTTCTGTAAACAAATAAAAACGATAACACTGGTAATCAATATCACATTATTTTTATTTGATAATATGGAGCGTATCATGTATCAGTTTAAGAATTACTCAATGATATGTTACAAAGTTCAAATAAACTGTGTCCATTGTAAATCATTAATTAAACATTCGTGATAAAAATCGGATTAAAAAATAGATATGAATTAATTCATAAAAGCGATGGAATTATATTTCATTTCTACAACTGACTTTACCTTAGCGAGGTGATATCAAAGCATATAAAAAATCCTAAGTTTACTGTGATTAACAATGCAAGCTAATTCAAATATTGAAATTGCAATGTAGAACTACTTGAATAGTATTCCATTGAAATAGGAATTTATCATCAATGAATCAGTGCAGGTGAAGATATATACAATTTATATATACATATAGTACATCACCGTTTTATTACAAAGGTATATATTTGTACACCATTAAGACAAATAAACTATTTTATTATTTATTAAGAGCAAGGAAGAAAACAAATGTCCTCGATGGACCCGCATTGGAGCTACTGACGACGTAAAGAGTTGTCTCGTCAACACAGGTAAACAATTTACGATACGTGTTTGACGCTCGACAGGTATGCTGGAATTATTGGTAGTTTTAAGTCACCCATAATTACCTCCGTTTGTGGAAGCACTATCTCACAATACCTGGTGCAAGTATTTTCAATTACAGCTGTTACCAATAACAATTGACTGTTTTCATTCTATTTTAAGACATTTTTATAGCTTGTGAAGAATTGTAAATGAGTGTGCATATACTTTTTACCGTTGTTTCATCAAACACATTACATCCTAGCAAATGTCAATATTTAAAAAAAAACAGACTCGCGTGACTTTATTCATTTACTTATTTCAATTTGTAACTAGGGCATTAAATAAGAATTTCATGCGATTGTATATATATATATATTATATTTAATAGCACAAACAATAATTCAACAGTGTAAGAGTACACCAGTGATCTTAGTCCAGACTTCCAACTTTATTACTGAATTGTATCCAATATAACAAAATAATGATGTAACATTACAAATTACAAAAACGTTATATCAGAATGAATAACAAAGATTTAACTAATAAGAAGAAATTTCACAGAAAAGTGTTTGTTCTACAATAATAATAATGTATATGATAAACAGATTATTGCTCAAAGTGATGCGGTGTGTATGATATCTTTGTGATTTGTTTACATATGTCGATTTCAGTGATAACATATATTTGGAAAAGAACCGCAAGGGAGACGTTTGAAAGTGAACAATTTACCTCTAAGCTGCAAAACAATGGTAATACGTAGCGTTTGTCAGGCGCAAAGACGTCTTTATCGTACAGAGGACCGCTAGCAATAACGGAACAAGTGCCTTATCGGTGTGGAATTTTACGTTTCTTCCTACGGCTATATATTGTGCATATTGTTAGGATAATTTGCCATGCCGATCTATCGCCAGTTTGAACGTTATGAATAAATAATTGATAATTGATTCAGCCATATTTAGAATGAATTATTTAGCAATGAGATCTTTATACAATATTTACCTCGTTTGACTGATAACATGCTTTTGTATCTAATCTTGCTGTAATGAACGGAGAAATTTGGTGTTTGAATGTCCTGATTACGGAGAATTATTAGCTATTATTTTCCTGCTTTTGACGAGGCTTATCAGACGAGGTACAAAGTCAGGTAGCAAACTGAATGAAATTATCAAGTAATTAGTATCGAAGTTGTCACGCGTCGTGAAGAACCGACAAACCCGTTGTCATGATGTTGGGTTTCGCCATTTAAAGAATAAAGAAATTAGAAATGTGAGTATCCCTAGCAATGTTATAGGATAAGAAACACATCATGTGATACTGATTATTCCAACTGTTTACTCCGAAATTATCATATAGTTTGATATTAAAATTATTACAAAGTTATTATTTTGAATAACATTACCAAATTCTGTAATTAATATCCTGATTCAACAAGCGTCATTTGCACGTCAATTAAGTTAAGATAATTATACATTCGATGTATATCTTAAACAAAGTACATGTGCCCCGTTCAAGGCTCAAAACCGATTTTACCTGTATTAGATGTTAAACAGTGGTGGAAAGTGTATACCTATGGGAAATCAATATTCATAAAAAATGATACAATATTCACAGTCGAGTTGGTATTAACGTCTTGTGAGGTCTTATTGATAACCGTTTTGTACAAGTACTCTCTCCAAGACAATTTGTATTTTTACATCTAATTCATGCACAATTTTAAATAAAAACCCTAAATAGGTGACACAATATGCGAGGTGCTTTCGCTTTGATTGTGACTCGATCAGTCTTAAATCTCGATCATTATAAGGAGAATTTAAGTCTCCTTACAATAATATAGCTTCCATGGAGAACATTGTGTGAGCAAGTCTTTGACAAAAACGTTTATGCTGACAACTGGTATCAATTATACCGCTATAGGGGCGGTAAAATCTGTCACTGTTTAGTCTAACGTACATATTTAGGACTTCATTCGGTAAATTGTTAAATAAATCAATTCCGTCCATCGTTAATATTAGGGGGCGTTCAACAACAGGTGATTTGTGCGACCCTAAGGCTCTGTTTAAATGTTACCCAAGCACCCTACAGGCAGTAAGGGTCTGCTTCTAACCTTGTAAAGGGCAGAGCACTTGTTCCGATTGTGAGAAAACTAACATGTTCATTTCTAAAGGACAAAGTAAAAATGTCATTACCCTACGGTATGGTTTGCGTTTACAGTTAGCAAAGACTGACAATGAATAAACCATTCTCAAGGTGTAGATTTAATTTAGAAGATTTCAAAAGACATATCAACTATTATATACCTATCCTTCGTTATGGTTTTGTTTATTATAATATTCAATATAATATTTCCGTATGTTATGTGTGATATTAATTATTTCTACCGTCAACAGAAATATACACCATGTACTTCACTAGACGTATAAACTTTTTCTATTTTTTACACGATAATTAATTATTTTGTAAATATATCTACAATTTTGTGATAATCTAGCAAGTTTTTATTAAAGCCACAAATCTTAGCTGGCTGTCTCCTTTCAGTGAAACGCTACCGGGCAGATTCCGAGGCAAGGAAAGGTTACGTTGACATTTGCTCTGGTTCATATTTCATATTTACACCGATAAACGATCATTGCGACGACACGCTTGATAATAAAGCTCATAATGAGGCCGTCTTCCATAGATTGACCAATAAATAAACTGTCGTCTATGCGCGAGACACAGATTACATCCCGTTCCAGACGAGACTTGGGAGATCAAGATCATAATTGTTGTCATTTCCCATGCAGTTGTCAGTTTCTTCCGTGTTCATCTCGGGGTCAAAGGCCACCGCCGAATACTCGTCAACATTTACAGGAGTGACAAACTTGAATATAATGTTTCTTTAACTTCCCATGTACTGAGGTTTCATCCACAAGGTAATAAAATAAACATTTATTTATATCGGCCTATCAATTCCGACATCGGCAGGTAGAGGTGTCGACTATTTGTGTACTGTTATTGCTGTTTGAAGTGTATTTCATATAGAAAGCCATCCTTTATTTACTTCTCGTAACAAAACAACCGTTCTTTTCGGTAAATTGAACAATTCCTGAAGCGTACAGGGGTATGAAGATTATTCCTGTTGTTCAGCAACGTTTACTGCGATTTTCTCGAGCAAAGGTGCTGGGTATATTGCATTTTTATATTGTCAGTTTCTTTAAATTATGATCAATTTTCTTTCATCTTTTCACCTGTTATAAACATATATGTGTTTCGCTTCTAGGGAGAGTTGACACACTGCGTTTGTTTACCTTTGTCATATTTTTAACGACAGGACTTTTGATTTTAGTACCCTTATTTAGATCATGGTATTGTCAAGCCATGTGTGTTTATTTTAAACACATCCAAACTTTAATAATATCAAATAAAATGTTATTGATAAATCTAAACTTCTATAAAGGAATGGCGAATATCTCGATTAGTTTCAGATAAATTAATTTAGTAATGGAATGTGTCATAGAAAAATAAACCATATTAAACGGACTTATCTGCTAAATTTAAAGTTGACGAAAATGAGATTGTCAAAAACTTCATCAAATAGAAGTTATCTTGAAATCTCTACATGAAAAAAAGGACTGACATCGCTTAGCATAAATGCAGTAGCTGGGAGTGTAAATATGACACAAGTTATGATATGTGATGATTTATGAATCGGATATTTACGTTTGTGTTTTCTGTGTGTGTTTCTTTTTTTCATACTCAAAAGATTTCGTAGCACATTTCACATGATGATCGTTGTGTATATCTATATACAAGGTTGTCAATAAATGTCAACATAGAAAAAATGCATATTCATGATGTTAATTTCACGACAGTGGTTTGTTGACATACGTGTGAAGAAGGGAAAACTCGAGAAGATTTGGAGGTTCGTGGGAGTGATTTAAGGGGTCAGGTTGTCTGGGAAAATTTACCTAAATCTCTGGTCCAACAAGTGACACGGTCGGGACATAGGTGAGAGTGTAATTCCCTAATCTCGTATCGTAAATACTCCGGCCCACCACGTACAAACAAGGATATCTGCTGATAAGTGAATTATAATCAAAATTAACACGTGTGATAGCGGCTATATCACAGTGGCATAAGATCTAGGAGTTGACCCTGACACGTACCTAATGGTCCCTCCTACCGCGAGGCACGACAGGCCCCTCCCGACCGTGTAAACTAAATCTCTCGTCCCGGCACGGTTTTCAGTTACACCAAAAGCACGCTCGTACGCACGTACGAGGGGTATTTTAGCGGACAGAGTGATATCTTAACATACATAAGACCTGAATGGGCCACAGACAGAGATTTGTCGTGCGTGATTGGTAGCAGGTGTAATAAACTTTGTCATAAGGCTGATTCATAATGGAACTGTCATTTCAGCGACCAAGAACAGATTTAAGCGTAATTGTAGGTGGTCTGAAATCTTATAAAGTCATCTGTGTACAACTATTATAGACATGCATCGTGTTTCTTGAGGTTTATACGGCGAGGTGAAAAAGTGGACAGAAAACACAATTTATGATTTAATAAGTTTGTGCTAAATATGGAAATATTCATTGCCTGTGTGCTTATTTTACAATGTCGTACTATGAACACATATCTTCATTGTTCAGAAACAAATTCAACATTGTTCACTGTAATTATCTTTAGATTAAAATATTGTTGTTCGTCTGAATTCATTGTAAGTAGCTGAAGTGTTATATTTTGAAGAACTTTGGTAGAAGGGTCAGTGCTAAAAACAGGATCCTAGGAATGAAATACATATTTAAAGGGGTCATAGTAAACACAGGAACTTGCATAATACTAAAAGGGGGTACAAAAAATGTAAAGAATACCTACCGACGAGAGAGAGTCCTTTCTCATTGTTGTTATTGTCATCGTTATTTTTATTTGCACGTTTCGTCACAATATTATTATTGTTGTTAATCCTTGGACTTCCGTCTTCACTTCCATTTTCCTTCGAAGACGCTCTCTCTACAACTTCGTGATCTGCCTTACAAAAGAGTCCGTCGTCCCGTAAGGCGAACTCATCCCCCGGGATTAGTTGTCTACTGCAGGCAACACAACGGAAACAATCTATATGGTAGACGTTGTTCTTAGCCCTCATAACAAAGTCACTCTTTCCAAACGTTTGATTGCATTTATTACACTTCGCTCCAAATATTCTGAAACATAAATATGTAAATAAATATATAATATTTTGTCACCAAAAGGTGTGTATGACATCTTGATCTGACGCCCGGATCATTTTATAGAGATCAACAATAATTCTCCACATGTTTTACGGGCATTTCATTACGGAATCACTCATCCGGAACGTTAGATTGCATCAGATATGTAAAATCAATATGAAAATATTATTGTTTGTGTTTTGTAACTGACATCTGTATACCGGCATGTAGATTTTCCTATGAGAAATAAAGATTTCGGTTTGAGATTGGCTAACTGATATTGTATAGAATGGTGTTTCATTTCTATTAACTTTTCATTGTGATATCTGTTCAAATTCATATTTTTCTATTAATAATAATGATGTTATTAATTGATTTTCATTTATTAATGATATTATATATCAAGATTCTTTTAAAGAAGGTAAAATCATATACAAATGTATGTGTAAATTATTTTCAATAATATTAGGGGGAACCTCTATTTGTGTGCTTTCATAATTAAGCATTGTACTGTAGTTGTGTAATAAGTGTTTGTCCCAATTCAATGCTATAGAAACACTAGGTGAATCGAAAGGAAGTATGAATTACAGTGCAAAACAAATAAAAGATATGAAATATCTCTGAATAATCAGAATGCCAGAAATCAGTAAGTAAAGACTTGTATTCACATTACCTGTCCAATAGAACCAGAAAATTTCAAACTTATGAAGTTGTCTCCTTCATTAATTTCTCTTTGTTTGTTAAGTATTTATTGGGATGTCTCTAACCTACTGTTCCGAGATCTGGCAAAATTTTACAATGTGAATTACATATATAAATAAAACTGATAAATGAATATTTATAAAATTGTAATGTTTTAGGTAATCGCAGAATTTGAGGTAGCAGGACATTATGAGTGGGATACAACAGTACAGATACGATACTATAAATGCCTTGACTATTATTAAAAACTAGATATACGTTTCCAACCGTGGTTTTAAACAACTCTCCAACGCTTTAACAACATGTGTTTGGTATGTTGAATCTATTATTTGATGATAATTCCACGTTTTAACATTTATTTTGCCCGTGACCTCTTTTGAAAACTAAACAGACGGCATATAAAGATTGTATTCCCCAGTACTGTTGGTCTCCTAGCGTAATTCTAAATTATAACCAGCGGGAGACTAAGATAAAGTCCCCCTTCCATACTACTCCCCCTCCCAACACCGCCACATCGTTCACTATATGTAGGAATATACATTTTTCATACGTACTCATTTATGAAAATTACAGACAACACAAGGGTTTAATTTCGTGTTATGAATAATTGATATATGAATATTCAACATCTATACCTATGATACCGATTCAGGTGATAAACAGACGAGAAAATTGATCAACAGGTAAATAATAGATTTTCCCAGTAATTTCGATGACTGTATATATTTTACAATCTAGAGTAAGGACTCCGTAAATACAATGCCATGGTTTGATCAATCCATCAACTCCTATCAGCTCAGCATTTATGTTGTAAAATGTCATATACATCGTAATGAGAAACTTATACATTTAATTTTGCCAACAAAAATTGTCAACCGAATCTCATAAAAAAAAAATCTAAGATACGCCAGGAATTAATCACTCCGTTGTTAATACGAAGTAAACGTCCGTGGATAAATAACTTGATGAGAGTTGTCGGCATGTAGGGTCGACCTTCGTCATAATATGGTCTTACCTCACGTAATCCCGTCTGCAGTATGTTTTTCCATCCCGAACGAAACAGGTGTGACTTTCATCCAGATACTGGTTACATTCGGCACATTTCAAACACGAAGCATGCCACTCTAAGTCCGGAGCCACTTTTAATATAAATTGATCGTGAATTTGAGATCCGCATCCAACACAAACTGAAACCCGCCGTTTCTCTGAAAAATGAATTATAGATTTTCAATAATTTGTATATTTTTGAATGAATAAGCTGTGAATAAATACATAGATATATACATGAAAGCATGTCAATATCTAATTACTAATTATATCACTGTTGTAAAAAACAATAACAAATCCGTCTGTAACTTTTTCCTAATCCTGGTGTTAGGGATGACAGCGTGATAATGGTATCTGTAGAAATAATTATTACTTACTTTTTGGTTGTGGAGGTGGCTGCGTGTCAGCCGTCATATCGTCGGCTTTTGAAGGTGGAATTTTGACAAAATGTTATTAAACACACAAAACACGAGATATTATTTAAACCCTATGCTAATATAGCTTGTGCTCCGTGCTAGTATGCTCTGAACACGGTCATGTGTGTGTACACTCGACTTCACGTACTCCTCTATACATTCCTACTGCAGTAAGCCGTGCTCTGATTGGCTAAGCCGTTCAATTAGACGGGCCACACGTGATTCGGCTGTTTGCATCCTCGAATGGGCGTACACCATCTGGTGAAGCCGGGAGTCTAAAATATTGATATTTCAATGAATCTGTGAAGAAAGAGTGTGTTGTATAGCACAGGGAAGGACGGATAACGAAAGCATGGGCCTAAAACAGAGAAATATCCGTCACGGTTTGACAGAATGAACTCTCTGATACTTTAAGCGTCGTTAGTCGTTTGTGTGTTACCTGAGCGTTTATTGCCAAAGGGCTGGTTGTTTTTACAAACGTCTACCTGTATAAGGTGACTTAATTATCTTACCTGTACCTCATACCTGTCGTAGGTAGTCCTAGTTGTCAACTTTTGGAATATAAACATCGATTATTATATAAAAAAAATGGCTTGAGTTTCGAATTTGATGAATTATAGATTAATGAGTTAATGTCAAGTGAATTACCAGTTAACATTGTGTTATTTATTTATTTTTTCTAAAATTAATAAATTTATATCCATCATCCGATTCATAACCAGATCAGGATCAGCAGAATATGCTGAAAACATACATTATATACAAGTATAACAATATAATTTTATATTTCAAAATACATCGATAAATGAAGATATGCAACTTTGCATCTTAAAAACATTAACTATAAGTAGTATCCGTAAAACAATTTCTTGATAAAAAACTGAAAGGCATAATACCAAAATGAAACAAAGTTATATCACACATTGTGATTAAATGATAAAGCTCTCTACGGCATAATGATACTTCGAGATGTACATTTACATAAATGACAAAAAATTTGATTTCTCTTCTCAGTTATTTGCTGACGTATAACTATGATTAACACGGAGAATTAAATCTTAGCATCACACCTATAACAATTGATATCGGAATACTGTTCTTATCTTTGTGTAAAGTAAAAGTGGAAATATTAATTTATCAAAAAAGTCGTTCAGAAACATCTGTATTAGTACAAACGTAGTATCCTGACACTGATTCTATGTTCCCAAGAAATCAATATTCGATCAAAGATAAGATTCAGATCAGAAATGACACTTGTTAATATGTAAGACACGGACTTAAACAGTATTTGATAATGTGAAAAATCCTGCTCGATTTTATAAGGAAATGAACAGTTATTCATACGGGTAGACTACCATGGTCGGCCTCTGTTGTGTTTATAAAGAAATGTTTTCTGTATCCCATAAGTCAAACAATTCATAATGTTAACTAAAGCTTGAAGATGAGGGATTTTATTTCTCCTTAAAGAATCGTAAATATGGTGAGCGGTTTTTATTTCATTGTGTCCGGACGAGATAACTGCTCAGACCGATCGTGTGGCGAACGGTATACAAGCCGGGCTGTTCTAGAACGATTGTTTATTTAACAAAATAAACTCAGGACCTTAAGACTCTACCTTTGTAGAAACACTTTTGTTTAGCCGAAGGAGATTAATCGTGTTTATTTTTCGGTTAAATCGCAGCTTTACCAGGTAAATAAAACTTCCGTTGAAAACAATACCCCTCCTCCAACCTCCTCCCCTCATGTCTCGTCGTTACAGTGATTATAGCCCGCTGTCAAATCTTTCGACCTCATTAGCAAACTGTTCGTATAGATTAAATAATTATTCATTTTAACAAGGTTTACTGAATTGTTATACATATTTATATTTTGTATGTTGACATTTACCTGTGTTTAAAGAGGCGGAATTAATTAGTGTGTATTTATATCTTTTGTAGCGACGTCAAGCAAACATCAGTCTCCCAAAGTTTTCTATGTCTCAACATGTCTCCGCCTCTCTTTCCCTGCGACCTCACGTCTCTCGCTCTCTGGTCGTTTCTTGGTGTCTGTTTACTTTTTTAAACAACAATTCATTCATTCATTCATTCGCCCCTCTTCTCCACATGTATTTCCTCATTCTTTCTCTCCACCGCCTGTTATCAGAAGTCCCCATTCCTTCATACGTCTTTGTCTTTTTGGTAGATAATATAACATTACCGTAAAACGAAAGTACATTTGCTTCTCAACATTTTCACCTTTTTATTAATTTTAATTTTGAGTTTTAAAATATAAATGTACATATCATCGTCATCCCGTGGTGTTTTACGGAGATGTTGAAGCATACACATCACTTCACCTCGCAGTAATCGAAACATGGACCATATGTGGTGACAAGATCATATTGTCATAGTGTTATCACGACAATCAATTAAAAAGCAACACTTAAAATAACACCAAAGGTGTCTACCAATGACACAATTGTACCTGTATGTAACGAAATCACCACGAGAATGTAAACATTGACACGGTATTGTCAGAGGACGGGGTAGAGGCCTAACTGCCATTCTGGTTGTTTGTACCCAGGATGACAATATTTACGCGATAACTACGGCCGATTTTACGATCTTTCTCCGATAGCTTCGATCCGAGCGGTGTCAACGCGCAGTGTCAGATGGTTCAACATTGACATTATCTCCGGCTTTATCTGCTACCGTGTCCGCATCGATTTTTAGTCTCAGCCTGATTCTGCTGCACCAATCTATGTCACGTGATCTGTCCGTCACACGTACTCAGTGATAGAGCGAATCCCATGGGTTTCAAATGCCCCTTCAAAGCCATGTCATTTTCAGTTTAATAAATAACCCATTCGGAAAAAAGTACTCGAAAAAACCTCAGGTAAGTCGAAATCGAAAACCGAAGCACTGTCATAACTTTGAAAGAAAGAAAAAAAAGACAACCAAATGAAATTTATCATTGTTAGATTATTGACAACTGTCACTCCATTTGTGTAGATTAAAATTCTTATCTATGATTTGAATTTGTTCATTTCCTTGTTGGGGGAAATTAAATAACCTCGATTGCTAGTAGTTCCATGAAATGCGGTATTCTGGAAAATTTGTATTTGAAGATATGTTGATTTTTTTAACGTCAAAACTTCTGAAAACCGGAAACGGAAGGTACTAATTTTGTACGTTTTCAGAATGGTTAAAAAAATATCAAAATGGGAGGGGAAAAACACAAATCAAATCAAGCCTCAGTGCATTTTACCGTATATTAAGGTACGTGTATTGCTTATATTTTTATTTTAAAAAATGTTATGATTTCCCGAGGGAAATCATCCCTCTCAGACATTTTTACCATAAATCTTAATGATGATGAAAAATGCGCGTCATTGTTATGTCATACTATGGCAACACTGTCCAATACTGTCCAATGTGCAATACGCTTTGATTTTTGAATTTAAGAAGTGCCTACTCATACCTTAAGTTAACTTTAATATATTATTAATTTTCAGAACAAATAAATTACAAATGTGTTTTTTTAAAACAAGTTCGTAAACTGTAAATGGGTGATCATATTCTATGTTAAATTATATTTTTTAATCCGTCTTTTTATTTACTGTTAAAGAGGTATGGTGCGTAAGACCCTTATTCAACCTAAACGCGATCAGTTATTTTCAGCAATCATAATTTCTCTGTTCGTTTATTGTATCTATATCAATACAAAATTATTATTAGTATGGTGTCATAGAATACACGGATAAGGATACCCGCCAGACCTTGAGTATACTTAGCATTAATTAAGATATTTTCTCTGGATATTAACCGAATAAAACCACATAAATTTTTTTTTATTTTGTGAGTAATTTTATATTTCGTACACGAACAGTGATACGGTTTGGAGTTTTCTATAAAATCTTTAAATCTTTACGAAGGGTAAAGCTCACGATTTCATGAGTAGTATAGTGATACTTTTTAATGATATGTGAAATATCATAACAGGAAAAATTTGAAAAGAAACTGTTCCCTCACCAGCAAGGCAGTCCACCAGCGTGGTAAATGTAGGTGTTTCCGTATCAGACTCTAAACCATCCATAACAAAAATTTTCCGTTTTCCGCTTGAACAACTTTTCTGTGACCTTCTCTCTGCGTACGGATAGATCCAGTGTGATTTAGCTGAGCCGATGTGAACATTGACTTTAAGATGGTACAATATGTAACTGGCGGTTTTAGAATGAGAAGTTAGATTTTAAAACTTGATAAGCTTCTACGACCTTTAAATGGAACCCGTCCTTCCATCAGATAAATAATTCGACTACATTTATATATATTCGGATCTGTTTAAAGTGTGGTATATCTCTCTCCAGTCTGACTACATGTAGCCCCCTGGACATTCTCACAAGTTTTACAAACGGGTACATGTAGTCAGCAAGTTTTATGAATTTAAAATTGAATAATTGAATTTACCATAGATAGCATTGACCACGTTAATTGACATTTCGTCGATAACTATGTACGAGGCCTTTTGCACCAACGGCAAATTGGCAAGTGTCAATTAAGCGATGATATAAGCGACGTGGCTTACACGACAACGATAGGCTATAACCAGCCTGGGCAGATAAAACAATTGATATTTTAGATCTGTTACATGTATAGACATAAGTTTGCAGTTAGAGGATCTATTTATCGGTTAAATATTCAAAATTAAGGTCACGATAAGCCTGAACATATCAAATACAGAAATTATGGGAAATTGTTAACATGGTTTTCTAAAGAACATAGATAAAAAAAAACAGATTCTAGAGAAAGTCTATTCTCATCTTTCGTTTATAAGTGAAATTTTCGAAATCTTTTGTTTTTTTTTATCATGAAGGTAATTGTATAGAATTTATGCCAATCTTCTGTGAATAGAATCTCGTCTTACCATCACGCAAGGCAACTATAGTCGAAATTCCTCTGACCGTCTCTTGACGAAATTCAGCTCACCAAAAATTTGAATACACACATTAGCTGAAGTCAT